TTTCTTCATAAAAAAATATGTATTCAAATACCTTAGTATAATAACATTACAGGAAGAAAAACACAAACATTTCTTCTTCTTTTTTAATTAGAGTGCACATATCTTCACTTAAATGAGGTGGTTGTCACTATAAGGTGTCCTATGAAATGAATGCCTTCAAAAGCATTATATTTTAAGGTGTCTTATGATATGGAATGCATAAAAAAAAATATCATTATTATCACTCTCGTACCCAACACATGTATATCATTATAAATACTATATTTTTAGAGTCAAAATGTTATTTCTTGGTGTCCTTATTTACTAATACTTTTTAATATGAGGCATATAATGTAAAAGAAAAATGAATTTTTTTTTTGATGGTATAGAAAAGAAAGTCACTAACACTAGTTTGGAACCAATCTAGCTATAATTTATTAGGATTAGGGAATAAGACCTTCCCTTATTTACAATATCGGAAGACTAGTCTTATGAGAATAATCCTAAGGTAATAAACTTCACTTCATCTTCTAATATGATAAATATTTATGTTGAATATAATCTATCTTTCAAGCATAATCACAGGAAACACCGAAACAATATTATTTAGAACATATAGTTAAGAAATCAAAATATCTAATGGTCAACCATATATCATCCTAGAAGTTGCTAAAACCATCATAAGCCTTCGTAAACTAGCTTTCATCTATATAGGTTCTTAACAGTATATATAAAGATATATCCTCACCAAAAATACTAAAGCAATAATGACAAAGATGAAGGAATTAAAAAAGAATGAAACAAGGAATCTTATCCCTCTACCCAAGGGAAATAAGAATGTAGGATGAAGATATATGTTCTTTATTAAGCATAAAATAAATGAGACCATTAAAAGATATAAAACGAGACTTATGGTAAAAGAATATATTTAGACGTATAGTATAGACTATCAAGAGACCTTTTCAGTGGTAGTAAAGTTAAATATAGTCTAAGTTTTGATATTTCTAGCAACGAACCTAGATTGGTTTCTACATCAATTAAATGCAAAAAAAATAAAAATAAATGCATTTCTACATAGATATCTTAAGGAATAAGTGTATATAGATATTTCATTTAGGTACACTACAAGCTCATTAGAGGGGGCAGTGTGTAAACTGCAAAAGGCTTTGAATGGGTTAAAACAGTTACTTTATGCATGATTTGATCAGTCTAGTTTAGTTATGAAGAAATATAGATACAAGTAAAGTAATTCAGATCATACTTTGTTCCTAAAACATATATAGAAAAAAAGTAACAATACTGATAATTTATACTGATGATACGATAATTACATGCAATGATACATAAAAAAATATTAAGACTTCAAGGAAATTTAGTAGCTGAATTTGAAATGAAGAATCTTAAGGGTTGAGAATGTTTTCTAGGTATAGAAGTAGCCAAATCAACAAAAGGTATTTTCTTATCATAAAAGAAGCATGTCTTGGACTTATTTTCAAATACTAGCATGTTGGACTACAAACAAGTTGACAATCCAATAGTTAAAAATCATGGTCTAAGAAAATACCTAGATGAGATTCGTGCTAATAAAAAGAGATATGAGTGACTAGTTGGGAAACTAATTTTCTTGTCTCATACATAAACAAAAAAAAAGCTTATATAATTAAGCCTAGTGAGTTAGTTTATACATAACCATAATGAAGACTACATGACAAGTTGAGCATTGAAGATATCTTATGCACTAACTTAAGAGCAAGTTAGAATGAATTGTCCTTTATCCAAATAGCATATTTAGAAAATCACACCTTGATTAAAACCTATACACCTTTATTATAGCCTCAAAATCATTATGTAATAAAAACTCATATTTATCCCATGTTGTATAAACTAGCCATATATAACAATGGGAAAAACACTACTAGAAAATTAGAGAATGTCAATTAAATATTCCATTGGCATTTAAAAAAAATTATGCCAGTATTATAATTACTAATGGAATTGTTGACAGAATACGGTCACTGAAAAGTTGAGCGTTGGTGATTTTAGTTCATTGGAAATTACATCGGTTATTTCTAATATTGACAGAGTTCTTAATAGAATATTCCATCATATAAAATGTGCTTTTACCACATATTTTCCATTGAAAAATCCATTGGCATTGGAAATTACTGATGAAATTGTAAATCAAATAACCATAAAAAAATCTAGAAATATATCAGTGATTATGTCAGTATTTAAAAAAAAACCTAAAATTGCAAATCAAGTCTATTTTTTTAATAGTGCATAAATGTTTTTAGACAAAAAAACATATAGATAACAAAACCATAAGGAAAATAAAAGTTGTAATGGATATGAGTCTCACAGTTGAAAGAATAAAAAATTTCAAGGTAAAAACTCATTAGAATTTGAATTCTTCATTAAGAGAATTTTTTTGCATTCAAAGTAACCAATGATAATACTACACCACATCAGATGAAAATGCATCAAAAACCAAAAATGAAAAGATATAACAGATCATATTATAACCTATCAATAGAGGTAAAATGTTATACAAATACCTTCATGGTATCAAAATTATGTAGTCTAACATCAATTAATTATAGTCTAATTATTTTGTGTCAAATGTTAGATAATCAAGGTTTTTCTTATGAATTGCGTTATAGAAATATCAAAATAAATAGGAGAGATAAGATTGTACAAAGAGGTATGAAAACCTTTTGTTTTATGTCATTTTCATGAATAAGTAATTGGTGTTGATTATATTTGCAACATAATGACTTCATATTATCATTGTTGATGAATAGTTATTCAAACGTTTATCGAGTTTACTTACAAAGATATTTAAACATTATTATTGAGTTTAATGATGAATAATCATTATAAAAGGATGGGTGAGAAAAAACAAGCAACAAATTTAATGCAAACATTTAAATAAGTTATATGGCTATAGCTATAAAACATCCAGCCCATTGATATTAATGACATCGAGCTAAAGCAACTAGTTTGAAAAATATATAATATTATAATTTTTTTGCTTGTGTTTGGTTTTAATTCATAATCCAATCATTGATTTCAAGTTTGACCCATCAATGAACAAGTTAGCATTAGACGTCAACTTTGATATAATCTTGTATGAGTTGCATAAAAACTCATATTGTTAAGGGTTTTAAATTACAAAAACTCAGCTTTTAGTTTTTCTTAGATATAAGAGAATTTTCAAAAGTTAAAATAACCCTGATCTATTTCTTTCCTTTCTAAAGTATATTCATGTATATCTATTTGTTTTACATAATCATTAATCAAATTCATGATTAAATACCAAAATAAAAATCTGTAAACAATATCCCAATTATGAAAATTGTAATATAGGATTTTTTTCTTTTTTTTGGTTGATTTAAAATAAATAAATTTAGCAGATAAAGTAAGATTTCTTTTAGTGACATGTAAAGTTATAGAAACTTGAACATAAAAAATAAATCACATGAAATAAAAAAGAAGAATGATAGATCGAGACCTAAATAAAATGATAGAGTGACTAATAGAGAGAGAGAGACAGAGAGAGCTGACCACTTCCTATTATTTTCTTTTCAATAGCTCATCTCTTCCCACCCTCTCAATTTTATTCCTAAATTGGAAGCCAAAACCCCCGATTATTTATCAAAATCCTAGAAACAAAATATTAGATTAAAAAAAGATCTATAAAAATTAAACCAAACAAAATAACTTCAAGAAGAAAAATGAAGATTAAACACATGTTACTTTTTCTTTCTCCCTTTCTCTTTTTGCTCAATTGAAGACACACTTTTCCATACAACACGTAATAAGCCGATCACACTCAGTCAAAATACTAATGAAATTATTGATATTTTTTATTTGTTGAAGTTCCATCACACTTTCCATCGAATAATACCGACGAAAAATATATCATCAATATTTTTATTGATAATTATCAATTGAATTTTCCTGCTGCTATTTCCATTAGTATTTGCTGATGAAAAGTTTTCTATCAATGTTTTCATTATTATTTATCAATTTTCAGGTAGTAAAATAAACGTTTTAGCCTACACATATTGTTAACACGTTATTATACATAAAAAAATAATAATCTATATGTTCTCTCATATAAATATTCATTATATCTTTATTCTCATTGTTCTTTCCCAATTCTCAATCGTGAGTTTCTCTTCCTCCTTCTTCATTTAGTTCATTGATGTTTGAAATTATAACATAGTTTAATTACACTCTTTTTAATGATTTAATGTTTTTTTTTCTTACTTACATTTTGTTTTGTTTTAATTCAGTCACTCCCATTATGTTCTTGACTATTTTGTTTTTCTAATAAGTTTCATTTTTTTTTTACTTTTTCTTTTGGAAATTATGGGTTTTTAAATTTCTAATTATTTAGATGCACAAAATTTTAATTATTTTTTTTGCTTAGTATTGATCTTAATTTAGTTGATAAATTTTATAGTTTCTTTTTCTTTTTCTTTTTGTATTATGATGAATTCATTCATTTAATTTTTTTAAAACTCCTGGCATAAGTAGCAACTTGAATATGCCAATGGTGATTAACCACTCTAATTGAAAATGACTAGCCTAATTCATAGATAGTTTTAAAGTATTTTCTTTTACTTTTAGTCATAACAACTATAGACCTCAATAGATGCTCATTTGGAAATGAAATAAATTACTTAGGAGAAGCTATCACCAGGAGTGAAATATTTTTTTTTTTAATTTGTGATTTCTATATTATACATGTAGATTTTAGCTAGAAAAAAAAATAGAATTATGATTATAAAAGAGAGAACTTTGCTTGACTTGCGCTTGAACGACCCCCCACACACACACACATGGCAGAACACAAAACCGCAAAGTTTGTACCCTTAAAACGTCGAAACGAGGTTGCTAGCTTCATGTTCAAAAGAATGACAGAAGAAATGACGGAACGATAACAAATAACAACTGTACAATAAATCAAGCAACAGAATCTATTGTCCCAAAGAGGGCACTATAGCTGCAAGTGTTTATAAACCGCTTTGTTTTTCCATATCCGGGTCTGCATTGCTTTGTTTTTCCATATCCGGGTCTACATTGCTCACGTTAAAGCCTTCAAATGAACCATTTCTTTTATGCTCCCGTGGCTGCTCATCTTTGTGTTTTGCTTCATCAATTACTTCAGTGGTAACATGATCTCTGTCCAATGGACCATTTGGATCTATAGAATATGAAGCACCGAGGCTGAAAGAAGGAGAAGTGTCAACGGCAAGTGAGGGGTCAACTGAAGCATCAAGGGAGGGGCGGACCGAGTAGGAAATTTTCCGGTTCTTCCTAGCCTTTGCTCGCCATCTCTTCAGACCTTCAACCACATTCTCTGTGAAAACAGCTGCCCTCATTGCTGAACCCATCTGTTGCAATTCTCATTTAGGTTTAAATTCTTGAATACATAATCATATACAGTTTAAGTTAACTCTTTGTGGCTAATCAAGTTTTCTGAAGGCAGGAACAATTTTATACGTAGGATCTGTTGATCATAAATATATGTATGTAGATGCATACCTGTGTGACCAAAGCATATAGAGGTAGGGTCACATAGCCACAGAGGAAGTGAACCAACAGTCCCATGACAAGCGTTATGACAATGTCTTCTGTTCGCCGGTGGAAGCATGATCTAAATCCAAATTTGTACTGTAATTTTGAAGCAACGTTAGAATTGTAATTTCTTTTTAATTCAAATCAACTCATAGAGTAAATTCCTTGAGAGAAAGGTACTCCTAATAAATGCTTACCGAAGTCCATGTGAAGAATGCCAATTGAAAGGAGTTCTGCAAAGCCCAGAATATAGTTTAGAATAAATTCATGCAGCCACATATAGAGTTTTTCTTTTCTTTATCTTTACTTGCATATCGCTGCTGTGCTGTTAATTGGTTAGCATTTTAAGAGCTAGCAATATGAATTGTATGAGGCGGAGAAGCAATTTGCATAATGAAAATGAGAAGATCTGTTTGAAGGATTAAAGAACAACCTGAAACAATATGAATTGTATAAGGTGGAGAAGCAATTTAGGCCTACCAAACCAGAAGAAATGGTCACTAGGCTTAACGAGTATAGTTCCTTCAACAACAAGAGATTTATCATGGCTATCTAAGCACATTAAAGTTATGATGGCTTGTAGTTTTGTCCCAACCAGCAACAACATCTGCAAAACACAACATATATGAAGGATTTCAACATACAGATTTCTCGTGCACAATTACTTGAATCTTGCTCAAGTATATTGATTAATTATTAAAGTCGATTTACTTACCAGTAGTGGAATAAATGGAAGCCAATAATAACTGTAAAATTCTGTACACATACGATACATTGACAAAAATTAGAATCATGAACCTTTGATGGGGTATTTATATAAACAAAATTGGAATAAGTTACGTGATCAGCTTATTTGAACATACTGTGTGCATTGAAGAATATGAAACATATAGAAAACATCCAAATCCAGAAGCTGCAAAATCAGAGATTTTAGGCAAAGAATTAAGTTTACAGTTTTTGGGATTAATGATTTGTACTGATCATTGAAGATTGAAGATTAGTTTTCATTACCTTATCCCCACTAACACGCCAAAATCTTTATCCAAGGCTCTTCTAATGTATTTTTGAAAATCAAAGCTGTTGTCTTGATCAAAATGGGCCTGCAGAAAGAGCAGGAAAAGAAAAACACCAGTTAATCTCATCAGTTAACAATTATTTATTATCGTAACGCTATAAATTTGTCTCTATTTCACGTGGTTGAGGTTGTCATATACCATGATAAATCCATGCCTCAGTGTTAGATAATCCACTTTGGAAACAGAACCATAAAATTGTCCGAAGAAACATGCCTGCAAAAGATTGGCAAAACAACAACATTGCAGAAATAATCAGATAGAAATTTAAACAAGGTCAATATTAATTTATTTTTTTTAAAAAAAAAAACTAACCGGCCAGCGAAGAACTGTATTTTTTTTTAAAAAAACTAACCGGCCAGCGAAGAACTGAGTTTTCATTCCAATATCTCAGATGCCGCTTCCCAAATGGTGTTTGATGACTGAGCTGGAACCTCCTGGGATCTGTATGTGATTAGTAACAGCAAAATAAGTACAAATCTTTATAACCCAGTAGCAAATTATGTTACTTCTTTTTATATGCTTTAAGGAATGATTTGTTTCTGTTGCTTTGATTTCATAGGTAGGTGTTCTTTTCTTGTGAAATTATGATCAAATCCATTGAATTTTTGCAACTTACGTGATCACAAAATTTAAATTTTATTCTTTGATCATTTTAAATGATATTGAACTACAAACACATTCTCAGATACGATATTTTCCAATGAAGTTCTTGCTGTTGCAATATTGTGTGTCCCTCAAGTCTTTGATGAGGACGTTGATAATATTCCATTCTCTTGTAGCTATGAATGCTGTTTGCTTGTAGCTAAAAAGGTTTGAGCATGAACCATCGAGAATGTACGTGTTCATTGAATGTTTAATCCTTCAGCGGCCATAGCATTTATTTTATTGATGAGACAAAACTAACGTGGTCTAACAAAGAATTCTGTGACCAAACAAGATCATGACCATCAATCGATCATACCTGTTGAAAATTGATAATCCAGTGTCCTTGTCTCTGCCTCCCAAGATTCCCATCTTCTCATCTAAAAAAAGCAAATTTTCAAACACATGTCAGACTTTTACATTTCACAATCACTAAGAAACTCAAGGTTTGTTACGGTATGCATCTTCCCGTACAACTTCTATTTCTTTTTAGAGGCTTTCTTGAATTGATTTTGTTCTTGAAAGTCAACAACTTAACAGTACATCATGGAAAACATCAAAAGTTTTAGTATGAGAAAGAAAGAAAATGAAAATTACCTTGGCCATCCCTAGGCCGAATGTAAAAATGCTTGATAAGCAATGGAAGGAAGCAAGCACGAAGATCAAGTACTGGAGTTGCCTCATACCTTCCCTGGACAACAAAGAAGCCTTTCCCTGTTCAAGAATCCAGTGAAAACAAATATCAGTGTTAAACATTGATCTTATATATAACATATGCAAAATTTATACCTGCTCTGCACATTTGGCTTCTTCTTCACTCCAATCACTTGAATCCACACCGCCACAGGGAAGGAAGGTTTCGCTAGCACTCTTTGGGATACATATATTTGCAACTGGCTTTTCCAATACAGTCAGCAACAATGAGATGAAACCCAGTAGCATCAACTCTATACGAACAGAAAACATATAAAGTTTTAGTGATTAGCAGAACAAGATCTTCCTGTTATATATATTTTGATGTGTACCTGTTTTGATCTTGTACAGAGCTGGAATGAGGTACTTCCTCCTTTTCTTGTTGAAATACTGTGAGCCCAAAAACAAAGTGGAAAGTTAATGCCAGATGAATGGAGATCAATATTATTCTTACTTGCATGTCCAATATTTCCAAGTACTGTAAGTTCAAGTTGTGTGTATATATATTTATGTATACCTTAACTAAAAGATGAAGCAAATGCTCAATAAAGATAGATATTAATATCAGAAAGAAGCAAACAGTAGCCACAGCCCATGTTGGTGTTTCTTCGAGCGTTTTTGCTTCTCCTTCTCCAGCCATCTCTTACGACTATATGTTTCTCTCTTGCGTGTGATATTGGAGGGTCCTCAATTGCCTAGCTTATGTTCTCAACGCAGAGAAACAAATTAATATTTGAGGATGATTTTTCCACGGAACCTCTGTTTCTGTCGTAGCTAGCTAGCTCTATTCCAGTTGGAGATGAACAAAGAACAACAGGGGGCTTCTGGGTCCTTGATATATACCAAGTTGCATGCCATGTTATTGGAATTTGGTAGCAAGAAATCAAAAAACACAAACGAACAAACCAACTTCAAGTGTGTTTGTTTGCTTTGTAAAATTTTATTTTTTATAATTTTAAATTATTTTATTTTGTTGTGCATAGATGTATAAAATAAATTTTAAAAAAATAAAAAAATATCTTATTTTAATATATTTTAAAATTAAAAACAGCCACCAAGTCAAATTCAAGTATTACTTTTTTATGTTAGGTTTTACGTACCATGTGATGGTACGGAGTTTTTTTTGTTTTTTTTTGTCAAATGACGTGTACGATGAAATAAGTTAAAGAAAGTCAACTGGTGAGCTTAGATGACGGTCCCACCCACCAAATTGTGACGTGTTCCCTATTTTATACTTCATTTTGTATCTATAAGCTCCTCGATCGGATCTTAAATGTAACCGTATTCTTGGCTTTTAATTTGTTTGAATCGACTTTAATCTTCGCATCTTGAGTTTTTAATGTTTCTCATGTTGTATACTTTGTATTATACTTGTACATTGTACGTCTTTGCATGCTTTGTGTCCCTACACCTCAGCTAAGATTAAGATATGAAAGCTTGGACTTTCTCTACCCCAGAGACTCTAGCAGCCTCCAAGCATCTACCTTGATTATCGATGGGATTTGAAAAAATAGTTGTAATTATTTTTAAAAATATATTTTTTTATTTTTTAAAATTTATTTTTAATATATTGTATTAAATATATAAAAAAATCAAAATTTTTAATAGCTCTAGTAACACTTTTTTAAGGGTGTATTTGAGATTATATTTGCAAAAGCCATTTAAAGTGTTTATTATTTATAAATATATTAAAATAAAAAATTTCTTTTTAATATAACACCTCAAAACAATTTAAAAATATAAAATAATATATATTTTTTAAATTAAAATTTTAAAAAATATTATTTATACCGCCTTTCCAACAAATTCTTGAAGCAGCCAAACCACAGGATCTGTCGTCAACCAGCAAAACGTCTTCAACAATTGAATCATTGCTAGTCGTCACCATAATCTTTTCTTTTTAATAAAGTATAAAAAAACAAAAATTCTATGCAATCTTCTCCTTTCCTTTGATCAATCTGGAGGGAGTAAGGAATCGTCTCTTGATAATAAGGAATCGTCTCTTGATACATGTAAAATAACGCAAAGGTCATTCCAACGCCAAGTCGAGACACAGAAAAATAAAACATTAGCTCTCATTAACCTCCATGTTTTCTATCTGCTCAATTATTTGGTCCCATGGTTGAATCAGTTCGAATCTTGGAACCCAGAAGAGAAATTACTTTAGCATCAGTGATCAAATTCAACGAAAATCGTTGATACACAAAATCCCTCAATGCCATCGAGTCGAATGGAAACGAATTCGAAGGCAACACCGTAAGGTTCTGCCACCCCAAACGGGTAACACCTCGAGGCTGGCCCGTGGCCTCATCTCCGACGCCCTCTTGATTAAGCGGCTGTAGGCGTTTGGCTAGGCCAGGTCGTTCATCAACAAGCACCGCGAAATTTTTTTTGGGAACCCATTATTATTCTATTCTACCAAGCAACTAGAGATCGGGAGGTTCCTGTTTTTTTTTTTTTTTTCCTGGTAATCTGGAACCCTCTTCTCCAAGTTCAAGAAAGTATATATTTGGTGCAATTGAAAGTTACATAATAATTCTCAAGGTATGTTATTGGTGAAGTCCGAGATGTCCAAATCAGAGTCAGTCCACAAATTGGACCAAGGATCACATGCTTCGAAATAATGCAGTCCTGGGAGAACATGATAATAAAGATCATGAATCTAGGTGGGTCGCAGTGTATTGTTGAAAATATGAAGTCATAGTGAAATTAACAGTTGATGTGAGAGCTGTCATGCTCCAACAGGTCCTGTTGGAACTTTTGCTTGATACACTAGGACTGTCTACAACAACGTCCGGCCATTTCCATTATTCATCAAGTTTTTTAATTAACTGGTCCGGCAACTGATGATAGCATCAATTTCTGCTTGGTTTGTTCGAAGCTCATGGGCACGACAATCAGAGCTGTTGACCAGAAATAAATTATGAAAACCATTTTCAAGATTTGCAAAAAGCGAGAACCAAAACCAAAACCACAACAAAACATTGTTCTGCAGGCAGTTTCTCTGCGTTTGTTGTAGATATCAGAGTTAGTTTCCAATCAATTCATGAAACGTGATTAGATGCAAACAAGATCGTAAGCAGGACAAACGAGGAGAAAAATGCATGGAACAAACAGAGCAGTTCGGAATGTCGTAGGCTAGCATAGAACAAAACATATTGAGAGATGACAACCATATAAAATATCTGGCGCTATTACAACTACATTTCCAGATTGAATTGTGCGAGCATGTATGAAGAGAACATTCTTGAATGTGGGTTATCATGGGAAATCTAATAGAGATTAGTACCAGGTACAAACAGCTCTGTTGCATAGTCAAAGGAGTTAGGATATAGCCAAGTTACCTTGGGAGAATAATTATATTCTCTCACAAGCTAATACATATAAAACCAAGCAACAGGAAGCATCCCTTGTGCGGCCTCATTAGTATATACGATAATTTTCAGCACGGGGTTGCAGAATTGCCTGCAAAAGAATGCAAACAATTTCAATGAGATCAGATTAGATCAAACAGGTGAAAAACTAGCATGAACACAAACAGTTATTGACTTCATTAGATAATGCGGCAAATAAGATACCATCAACCATTGGAAAAAATACCCCATCTGACATGATCCTGAAAATAGATTTACAGATCTAAACTGATACTAATGCAGCATCGACCATGCACACAATACCACCTTAACTGCACCAGACATCGAAGTTCTCTGTTTGAGTGGCAAGGCTGGGAATCAAACAGGTTTTACAATCCTGCACAGCTCCATGAATAAATAGCATTGGTAACAGAAATGAGCAGGCACTAACTGCCCAGGTGCTTATAAAATCCACCAACTTGAATCAAGTTTCCTCTTAAACCATCAAATCCCTTTCAGATCAAATAAATGCTGATCAACAAGTTCTTGATCAAGCTCTGTATAGCTAACCAAACTAGTTTAGTTTGTGGCTTAGTTTGAGTTGTAAATACCCAGTTAGCTTACGTGACTATTATATACCTGTCATTTATAAAGTTCAGTTGCCCTCTACCACTACACTCTTTCTTGCAAAGCTACACCTTTTTTAGCTTGAAATATAATATAATGACCTATCAAAAAAGCTTGAACAGAATAGAGGCCTCTTACTTCGGTACAACTGCTCCCAACTGCATTATTTATTGCTGGAGGCTTTGTATGGAAGTGCTCTCCGGGGCGAGGCAGAAAGGACGATCCAGGATTCAATGGAGATGTTATTAAGGTCAAATTGTCCTCCTTATTAACAAGGCATTTATCCTCAGTCAATGAGAAACCAAAGAGTCTGCAGCTGCTTTTGTACGACACCAAATCTTGAGCTGCAATAGGTTGTGAAACGCCATGTTGAAGATGCTCATGGGACAGACCAAAAGGATTATTGCTCCATTGGCCGTCTCTTTTTACACTGGGCTCAGAATGTGCAGACAACTTGAAATTCCCCCCCTGCATTTCAGGACCACAAAACCAACTTCGGGTGGTAGCTGTCTGCTGCACATGATCATTGAAATTAAAATTGGAAGATGGCTTTGGAACTGGATTGCTAGCATGCTGAAACATTAACACTGAAGATGGTGATGATACTTGTGCAGAAGGTCGAATTTGAGTATTATAGCCCTGCATCATTGTAGACCATCCATTTCTTGAGCTTGACCTTTGGGCGCCATCAGAGAATCTGAGACTACAATTTTCACGAGCCTCATTGGCATTTGGGATTCTTCCATATGATGAGCTTGGAAAAATTTCTTGACCTTCAAAGACCTTACGGAATCTATAAGATTCATTAAAGCCTATGCCCTTGTAGGAATTATTTGAAGTGGAAATCGAGTCTCTGATACCACTTCCTAATGCAGCAATCCCAGAACTGTGGGAACCAGGAAAACAACTCCTTATTTCAGATGGGTACTGATTCTGACCATCAACACCATCATAAAGAGCATTAAAACTCATAATTTCTTGACCTTGCAAGACCTCCTGGGACCTTGAAGATTCCCTAAAGCCTGGTGCTCCAATCCCATCTGTAAGAAAAACATGCAGACCAGTCAGTAACATTGAACGCAGAACAAGGAAAAAGTTGATAATGGTGATGCATTTATTTGAGGGAAAGCAGATCCTACCAGGAATTGGAAATTCTGCCTTTGACGAAGGCAATCCAGACCTGCTCCTCTTCAAACCAGGTGCCATAAAGTTATTGGAACTGGAAATAGAACCAGAACCAGAAGGCTCAACTTCCCAAGGAGAAACCCTGCTGAGCCTGTTAGGCTCCATATCATCCCACCTTACCTGAGATTAAGAAGAAGAAAAAAGATCCACTGGAATACATATCATTCAATTAACATGACACATTAAATGTCAAAAATTGTAAAGATGCTTTGAATAGGCAAAATTAGGAGCAAAAGCACAGAAGGAATCCAGAAGAAGAAAAGAACAAAACAAAATGCCCAGATTGCCTAGCAGAAAAATAATACAAATATCCCGCTTTTAAACTAACGAAGCAAAATCACTTCTACATTTCTATAATTACAAAAATTCAACATGTGATATTCAGTAATAATCATGGCTACAGAACACATCATCACCCCAAAGTACAACTATAGAACACCTGGTATAATATCATGGAGAAAGAATATGACATTAATTAATGGTTAGATATTGAAGGTCCACTGATGAATTGTGGGAAAGCATCTTAACCATTGCAAGTTATGCTTGTAATTACAATTCAGTAGCTCTTCCAAACTTCAGATAACAAAAGACTGAGGATGAGGCAACAATGCATCAATGA